GGATCCCATTTTGCCCTGGAATTGTTCCCGCACTGGCAGTGGATTTGCCTAGCACACTGTGTCATGCGGAACAGACAAGGCTCCTAGGATTTGTGTTCCTCTTGCTTTTCTAGATTTTCAGTAATATTATTGAGGGTGAGAGAACCACAGATTTCACATGGCCATAAGTTTTTATAAATACAATTTCTGTGTATTTTTTTAAATTACCTTTTGTCCTCAAACTTCTTTTTTAATATGCTTTTATATTCTTATCAAATCTCTTGTAACTTTTTTCTGTTCCTATTTTCTACCTTAAGCTCTTCACTTTCTCAGCCCTTTTTTCACTTTCTCCCTAATTCAGCCATATTCAACGCTTGACTTCACTGTAACATTTTGTTTCAATATATCTAAAACTGGTAAACTTAACCTCAGTTTCTCCTTTAACATTTCATTCTTAGTTTCAAAAATCTAAGTGATACCTTATTTTCACTTTCTTTTTCCACTACTCATTTTTTCTTTTTCTGTAGTAAATTTTATTAAGTTAGTATTTATAACTATTCCACAGTTTATATTCCCTTTACTAATCCATGCCATCTCACCTGGGCTAACTTCCTGGTTGACATTGTTCCAAGTAAGAACGTAGCTCTTTTCTGTTTTAAAAGCGTAATCTCAGAAATGAAATCAAATATTGGCTACACTCAGTTGCCTGAGCCACCTGAAAATAAATATTCCTTTTGCCTGAAAGGATCTCAACTAAATTTTAGAGAGAATCTTTGATATGAACCCTGGAATAAAGCGATAGTCATTGCTATAGGTTAAATATGTATCATTGAAGACTTACCACCTTTATTCAGTATTAGCCTTTTAAAGTTTAGATTCTGGAAAAAAAAATGGAAAAAATAACTAAGAGGTTGTTTTATCTTATATACCATAAAGAAGAGAACGTTTCTGTTTTTAATTTCCTTTTGAAGTATATGGCTTCAGGCAATCAAATAAATTGGTACAATGTCAAAATAAATAAATAAATAAAGTTTAGATTCCTTCCATATGAGAGGTATTAATGAGTTTGAATTGAATTATCTTTAAAAGTTCCATAACTCAATTTAATTTTGCTGACTTTAGTTGCTTAAAATTTTTAAGAAAAAACATGATTCTGATTAAAAATTTTTATTGCATTTCTTCTTCTCCCCTAGCTTTTTGGAGCTATAAATTGACAAATAAAAATACTATATATTTACAATGTATAGCATGATGTTTTGATACATGTATACATTATGAAATGATTACCACAGTCAATCTAATTAACATATCCATCACTTCACATGGTTATTTTTCTTTTTTATTGTGGTAAAAACATTTAAGATTTATACTCTTAGCAAATTTCAAGTATACAATACAGTAGTATTAACTGTAGTTGCCATGCTATGCACTAGATCTCCAGAATTTATCCATCTGCATGACTGAAACTTTGTACTTAACATCTTCCCACTTGCCCTACCCCCCAAACCCTGGCAAGCACCGTTCTACTCTGCTTCTATGAGTTTGACTTCTTTAGGTTCCACATATAAGTGAGATCATGCTATATTTGTCTTTCTGTGCCTGCCTTATCTTATTTTACATAACATAATGTCCTTCAGGTTCATCCATATTGTCTCGAATGACAGGATTTCCTTCTCTTTTAAAGCTGATGTGTTCGGCCTTAAAATGTGTGTGTGTGTGTGTGTGTGTGTGTGTATACACACACAATATTCTATTGTATATATACCACATTTTCTTTATCTACTCATCCATCATCAACTGACACTTAGATTGAATTCATATCTTGGCTATTGTGAATCATCTCTGTATTTTCACATTGATTTATAAAAAAACAAAATACTTTTAGTACCAAATATTAAAAAGGCAGGCATTGGGGAAAATATACATTTCTTTCTTTGAAATGTTGGTATCTAACAGATCTTGGATTCCAACACAAAAACATTTCCCATTATTGCTGCATTAAGAATAAGAAGGTTTTGGACTAATTAAATATTAGCCACTTTTTGTTTTTTCTCCTTCTTAAATATCATTGCATATTCAACTAAGTCTTGAACAGAACCTTTTTTATATATAATACACATCTATGAGAAGCTTAAATTGATTTACACTAAAACAAATTCTCCCAATTTACATAAGAGGAAATTTAAGGAATCATTTCACAACGTCTTCCAACTGCTTTAAATGGGTTTATCTTAATGATTTAGTTGAATGACTTATCCAGTGCCATACTGGAAGTGTAAATGAAAAGTACGACGTGTAAAACTCTTATTTCAGTATTCATTCCACAAGTTCGCCATTTCCAAACTAGTACTTGGAACAGTTTATAATGTTAAGTATTTTAAGTTTTAGTACCTCAAAATAAATTCATTTGTTGAATGATTTAATGTTAAAATCTCCTAAAATATAATGTTCAGAATTCTCTTGCTTTCTTATTTGAAGTTGTAATAACTTCAACTTCCTACAGTGCGGGGTCCACCTGGATAATATTTGAAAATAGAAAAATACAAATTATCTCTTTTAACGTTTACTTACTCTCTGGGATGCTCAGCAAACTGAGTAGTCTTCATTAGGTAAGATCATTTAGCATTTAAAAGAAAGTCTGAGTTTCTGGGGAAAGTGTTGGAGTTGCTGTTAGCTATACTAATCCTAAATCCTTTGAAAAAATAAATGATCTTTTTCAGAAAGTTGTGTTCAATTGCTACAGTGGAAAATAATATTAACATTCTATACCCATTTTAGATAAACCCTACTTCAAAATGTCAGAGAACTGCTTTGCTTTTTCTTGAACTAACATGTTATGGTCTCTTTCGAAATTTTTTCTTAGGTTGTGGGGACATAAAACTTTCATTTGAAATATATCAATAGACTTATTTGGTGCAAATGATAGAAGGTGCAAATGCATTGCTCAGTACAATCAGTAATATGTCTCTTCAATAATTATAACAAAAATGATAGTAAGCAGAACTGTTCCTAACCCCAAAGAAGCTTGAAGTCCTTAGTTTAGATACTTCATAGAAATTCCTCAATAAGTCAGTCCTCCTTTTACCCCCTGCCAACACAAGCAAGAAATCTTTTCCAGATAAATTCACCCACACCGGTTATCAAATCTTAACATCGCAGAAGTAAGTCAATACCAGTTATTTGGCGAACCAGCTAAAATTTATCATTCTTCTCCTGCCTTTTCCTTCACCTCTTTCCCACCCCCACCCCCACCCCTTAGTTTTTAGGTTTCTTTAACTTCAGAAGCAATCATTCCTACTTTATGTCAAAATCAGTACTTTGAAAATCGGAGTAGTCTTCATTACTGTTTTCTGTAACTGTCTTCATTTTCAGACTAAAATTACAGAAGCACTTCTTTTTGGTTCTTTCTAGCTCCTAATAGAATATTTTTATTTCATGTTGAGAATTTCAAATAGTAAATTTTAAAAGGAAATTAATTACTCTATTAATCACTTGTTTTATTATTTATTTAATATCTTAAATTGTCAAATGTTTCTGTTCTCTTAATATTACTTCTTCTCTGATTTTGTTGCTATAGATTTAATATAATATAACCTTTTAAGAGTTTGTTTTTATACTTGTAGCATCCTGAATGATTGGTTAGCTTTAAAATGTTGCCTTTTTTCCTAGTCCACACTAAAATCCATTGAGTGTTCTAATTGCACATAACACTAAAGAAAAGCCTTGTCTACCACTTTTAAAAACAAACTGTGAATGTGAAAATGTCTTTTGATACGACTGCTTTATAAAGCTCAGTAAAGCTGTTTTAATCCAGAAGAAGACATGGCCTAAATATTTGTCAGACAAAAAGTATGCAGCAGCAAATGATCTTTATTTTACCTAAGTCTAATGGCATAATATATAAAAATAATTGTTTGGGTTGCTAAGATTATATTTTACTAATTACTGTAAAGTAATACACTATTTTAGAAATGGTAAGCAAACACTAGTATTTAGAAAAAGCTGAAAAATAGAGCAATAAACTGAAGAAATTGGAGAAGACACTAATTTTAAGAGAAACAAACTAGAATCAGGTTTTTTCCCTAAAGAACAAATAAGACTCTTAAGAAATTGAAAGAACCTTTTAAAAAGCAAGATTATAAGGGAGATGTACTCAGATGATAAGAAACAATGAAGTAAAATCATCCAATTTAGTAAGAGCTTAATGACCTTAACTGAATAAAATCTAAAAAGTCACCTAATTATAAAAAACACTGGTTTGAATTTGAACTTAAATAAGACCCTACACAGTTTTGGACGAATTATAAATGATTGAATAATATTAGGACTTCTTCAAATATTTGGATTTATCAATTTGTAGTTTTAAAAGGTACACAAAGTTCTCTAGGTATGACTGAAGATTTTTTAAAAATCTAAATGTTGACTTTTGTGTCATGATGAATGTAATACCAGTAGAAGCCACAGGGTGGTGGCAGGAACTTGTGTTAAAGGAGCTTAAATACATAATTGCACTATCTTTAAAATGTTTGTTAAATGCTAAGGAGCTGTAGCTTGGTTTTCTTTATTCCTCTAATACAGCCGCATTTCTCAGCAAAGAATCTATAACAAAATACAGAGACATTGATTTAAATGTATAGGCCAACAATGGAAAAAAAGTAAACTCACACGCATATTTTTCTTAAAGTTTCTAGTCATGTCAGATGCTTGGTGATCAGAGTAGCAATTTCATCAAGATATGAATTTGAAGAAATTTCTTGAATTAGCAATACTGGAAATAGTAATTGAAGAAGTTACCAGAAATACTTCATGTCTTCATCTTATTTTTCTACTTTCATTTTCCTTTTTCCCTGAATGTTCTCGTTGGAAAAAAAAAATCTATTGTACTATATATATATATATCTGTAAGCTAACAAAACGTATTTTTCATTGAGGAAGATAAATTTTCTATTGTGTTTTCTGGTAACCCATTCTCATTTGAGTTTAGAAGCAATTTAAAGTGGTAATCATTTTATATCTTTAAGGTAAGAAGACAAGAGGTTTCTTCTCCAAGAAAAGAAACTTCACCAAGGAGTCTTGGCATTCCTTTATTCCATGAAAGGTAGTTCTATATCCTTTTTTGCCAATCCTACAAATTATAAATATTGAAATATATTTTTATGTACATATTTTAAATTTTTAGCAATTGTAAGAAAAAGCAGCCTTTCAAAACTAGAAGAGACCAACTCAAGGCTCCTCCATGTTAAAATGACCTAAAGAAGTCATACAGTTAATAGCAAAGATGGGTCTAAAAACTGAATTCTCTGAAGTTCTCCTATTTCAATAGAACAAGTAATATGGCCACATTGTTTTATATGGATGGCTCTTAATGTTAACCTTATCAAAGTGAGGAATATTTAATTTTTTCTATTTAAGATGTTCACAGAGGACAAAAAGTCAATACACTGAAATTTCTAATGTAAGAATGAGACAGCCAGCATAAGTGTGATATATGAATAAGTAGGTATGCTAGTCTTTGCTACATTTATGTATTAGAACTTTAATTTATCACTTACTTTGTACCTGGCTCTCCAAATATTAAAGTTGTTTTAGGAAACATTTTCTAGGAATTTAAAATGATTTTTCTTTAACTTTAACCTTTCAGTAATTATTTTGTTGTACATTAAAAAGTACTATGTAAATTCAATCATGATTTTTAAAATTTGAAGATATAGCCTTACATTTTAAAATGTTGATTTATTTTTAGAGGTTATATAGAGAAGACTTTCCGGGATCTGAAAGAAGAATTTCATAGAATATGCATGCTAGCCAAAGCACAAAAAGACCACTTAAGCAAACTTAATGTACCAGCCGCTGTAACTGGTAAGGTTTGATGTAATGTACAGTAATATTAATTTTATTGGTTGAAACTGATTTATTTTTGATTGTGAAAATATTTCTAAATCCTTATTAAGTGCTGAGGATCTATAACTTGCGCTTCTCACCACTTATAATGGGTAAGTACTGTTTAAATTCTGTAATGTATTGCATTATATAATTATTGGCCTTTTCCCTCTCTATTTTATGTGGCACTATGTAGATTGAACTGAATGACATAATTACTAATCATCTTAATGAGAAGTCCCACCTTGGAAAAATAAATATAGAATATATCTCTCAAAGTCTTCAGTTGCTATCTGGGGGTCTTATTAAACATTAATTGATATATTAGTAAGCAACCTTGAAGCTACACTATCACATATGAGCTAAGTGAAATTATAATATTAGGTTTGTTTTTAACTTCTGCCTAAAAGTTAATTGGACACCATGGATAGATTCTTGTAATTTGATTGAAGAAATAAACATTTCACATTTCATGAGGCCAGTCCTGTTGGACGTACAAAGTACAAATTAAGTATAAAATATAACTTAAAAGGAATATCTGTTTTACAGACATATTGCAGTGTGTTTTTTAGAAGCTCCACCCTTCCCTAAAACCCCAGACCGGCTTCCTGGTATTTGCCTCAGTAGTTCGATATGAATAGCAAAATACCAGGGATTGAATCTGGCTACCATGTACCCCTGTAAACAAAAGGAAGGTAAACTGATGGTTTATAATGATAAATTCTCCTTTACCCTTGTCATTTGAGATATTCTACCTACAATTCCCAAGAGCTGTGATTTACAGTTTTTACTCTGAAAGATGTTGCAGCAGTGCTAACACTCCTTTAATTAAAGATCACTTTCCATTTCTTACAGCTCTTATAGCTAGGCTATTTAAAAAATCATTTTATAGGGTAAATTCACTTTTTGCTTACTACTACCGTTTTATTTTCAGAAAAGGTACACAGTATGCTGTTGGAGAAGCAAAACAATCTTTGTAGACAAGCATAATTTACTTCTTCTCCTCCCTTCCCTCTGCTTCCCCAAAAGGAACTCTAATGTTTCCACCTTAATTTTTGTCATTTTCTTGAGAATTTGATCTTTTGTGCAGACTGAAGACACTAGGTACTTCTGAAGTACCAATAAAAGAATTATCTTTATTTAAAATCTACTAGCTATAGAGATGTAGTACCTACAATTAATCATTCTTTTTTGAACATCAGCGTAGTATCAAAACATTGTAATGGTGACGTATTCATTGTTACACAAAGAACCTACCCCGTTATCAATGGCTTAATACTTTGACCATTTTTAAATTGCACAAGTCTAAATCTGAGTATGTATTTGTCAACTAGAACACTGAGTGTTTAACTTCAATTTCCTTCCCACTAAAACTGCTTCCTAACATTATTCTTATGTTTTATATTAACTGTGTCACAAATAATAAATACAACATTATTCTTGAAATGTTTTAGGTCTTTTGTGCTACAGACTCCAGTGGAGTTTTGCTGGCTCCAAACAAACCACAATATCAAATATTATGCTTCTGACAGTAGTAGATCAAAGGGGGAAAAAAAGAAAAAGAAATATTTTGGAAAAAGATGCCTATTCAGGTTTTTTAAGAGTGAACACTACATTGAATACAAATGGAAAGGAACTATTTTAAATGTGATTTGCATAATACAGCTGGAAAGAGCTTATTTAACATTATTGGCCCCTGTGTTATTTTTTTGTTAAAATTTGATTTTTACTTTTAAGTAAACAGATATAATTCATAAATTGCTGAGTTAGTAGAATTGTACATTTTCTTTTTATTTTTTTGCTTCTCATCCACGTGACAGTAGCCTTGAGAAAGGACAAAGGTAAAATGTATGTTTAAGTAATTGTGGCTTCAAAAAAAAGTACTGTTTGGTCCGTGAAGTAGGATCATATTTCAGTGGCGATCAGGAGACAAGGATATAGGACTAGAGGTTAAAATAACCCTCAGATCTTTTTCTTTTGTCAATATGCAAGGTAATTAAACTGAAAAGTTATCCAAATGGACAGCCTATACTTAAAATTTAGAAGCCTAAAAAATTTTCTCGTTTTACTTTTTTTTTCTTGCAGGAATACACGTCTTGACAAAACAAAACAAAACAAAATAGAAAGACAATTAGCTCACCTGATCATGTTTCTTAGTATAGTATCAGAATGACAAGTGCTTTCATGCACCTTGTTTGATTTTTAAGTTTTCTAAGCTTGGATTTCTAGTAACCTTAGAAATCTTAACGTTTAAAAAAAAAATTTTGTGTATGTAAATAGCAACGCTCATTGCTTGAATAGATTAATTCAAAAGATTACTTTAATGTGCTGAGGTATGCCAGCTAGCTATACTAAAAGAAAATATATGCTTTATTACACCTGTTTGGGTTTTCCATGTTTTGTTCACAAAGGGGATATCTACTACTGGAAAAGAAATTCAAAGCACATTTCTGTCATTTTGGAGACTCTTCTCTATAATTTAGAAACCAGCATGTTCAATTTATCATAATGGTTCAGAGCACAGGCTCTAGGCTGCCTGGGTTCCAGTTCCAGATCTGTCACTCATTCATTAGCTGTGTAGCCCTGGAATTAACCCCTAAATTAATGCACAAACAATGGTTATAAGTGTGTGGCACATAGAAGTGCTGTATATGTTAATAGTTGTCATTATCAGCAGCAGCAGATTCTTTATTCTCCTGTTCTACTGAAGAACATTTTGATAAGTGTTTCCTCCTTCTCAGGTGTTGTAATCTACAAAGAAAATACTGTTTCCTAGAATTTCCTGCCACTCTTATGTCTACTACCAGGAAAAATGACAGCAATTGAGCTTGGTCTCAATTACTGTACCACTCCTAGTTACAGACAGATTATCTAGTAAATGTACATTATTATGCTAGGCTCTGTGGGAAAGAGAACACAGATTCATTCAGAAGGCATTTATTGAAGGCATACTATGTGCAGGCACTGGGCAGGGTACTGGAGATAAGTGGGAAACAAAACATGGTTTAGGACCTCAAGAAACCTACTTCAATGGGAAAAAGAGGTATATTTGCAAATACAATGCAGTGTATAGTCCTCAGAGCACCCAAGAGTCATGACTAAACCAGTCTTGGGAAACCAGGGAGAACCATCCAGAGAAATTAATGCCTAAAGCAAGACATGAGGGACAAATAAGAGTCAGGCAAAGAGTAATGGAAGGGGGAAGTTCAGGCAGTCTGCACAGCATGTGCAAAGGCCCAAAGACAAGAGAGCATGGCTGTTTGGACAACTGTACCAAAGTTCATTATAGCTGGAGTATGGAGTAGAGCAATGTGGTGAAAGATGACAGCATGGAGAGGTGACAAAGGGCCAATCATGCACAGCTTTATATGAGTTTTAGGGCTGAAGGTCTTGGAGGACCATGAAAAGGTTTTATTAAGAAGGTAACATGACCAGATTTGTATTTTAGAAAAACTAAGAGAGGGTTGGGGAAAGCAGTGTAAACAGTAGAGTGGATATGAGAAAAATTTAGAGGCAAGGAAGTGGTTCAAAGGCTGCTGTAATCCAGTAAGAGAAGATGGTACATACTAAAGAGAGGTTAGTAGGCATGTAACAGGGTGAACCAAAGAAGCTGTTTGCATTGTACTACAATCATGTCCAAACAGAAAACATCTGTGTTGAAATGTGCTGTGGCAAAAGAGAGAAAAGTGTCACAAGTCTGCAAAGACCAAAGGAAGGGAAAAGAACTGACATTTGTTAAGTGCCTACGAATCTGGACAGACACTGTGCACAGTGCTCTGTATACCCCGTCTGCTCAAACAGGCATCGTTGGTTAATGTATAACTTCACTGATGACTACTTTTTTAAAGTGCTAGTTTAAAATAAAATGTTTACCCTTTGTCCATTTAATGAAAATATACACATTACCAACCTCCAACCTGTCTTCTTTTTTTTTTTTTTCTTTTTTTTTGGCTGTGTTGGGTCTTCGTTGCTGCCTGCAGGCTTTCTCTAGTTGCGGTGAGAGGGGGCTACCCTTTGTTGCAGTGCGCAGGCTTCTTATTGCATTGGCTTCTCTTGTTGCAGAGCACAGGCTCTAGGCACGTGGGCTTCAGTAGTTGTGGCACGCGGGCTCAGTAGTTGCGGCACGTGGGCCCTAGAGTGCGTGGGCTTCAGTAGTTGCAGCACACAGGCTCTAGGGCACGTGGGCTCAGTAGATGTGGCTCGAGGGCTCTAGAGCACAGGCTTAGTAGTTGTGGTGCATGGGCTTAGTTGCTCCACAGATGTGGGATCTTCCTGGACCAGGGCTCGAACCCATGTCCCCTGCATTGGCAGGCGGATTCTTAACCACTGCAACACCAGGGAAGTCCCTCACTGTCTTGATGAAGTAACATTGTGGAATATAATCTAGCTTTTTCTAATGTCTCGGTATCATCAACATGGAGATTGCTTTGATCATTGATTTTTTTGCATTGAAAAATGTAGCCCTTGTTCGCTCTACACTAGACTGTAGTGTTTTCTGAGTTCTTATATCTGCTTTTTTGTTTCTCTTGTCTCCTCTCGTGCTTTCAGCTCTTACTGATATCTATATCTGCTTTCAACAACTCATATCCATACCTTGTAGTTTGTTGCTTGTTACCAGCTATGAACTAGGGAGACATCATCAAGCTTGTTAGAATACATCTAAAATGAGAATAAGAGCAAAATTCATCTGTGGGCCTTGTGGCTCTTAGCCTGACTCCTGAAAAGCACTATTTACTTTCTAACTTTTGCCTATGTCCTAGAGAGCTGAATTTGTTGGATAAGTGGCTTCTAGACAAATGAGCTACAGAGGTCCTGGTATCTACCTGATATCTACCTGTTATCTACAGAGGCCTTTTTCTAATAAGATGAGAAAATCATATATTCACATAGAGCTTTCTGAACATGCATCCTAAAATTTCATCCTTCTTTTGCCTCCAGTCTTCTCTCTCCCAGCACCCGCCACTACCACGCCCTCACATAGTATTAAGAGTAGACAATGGCTAAGCTGATTGGTGATACACTTTGTCACACAGAGATATTAGGGGGAGTAAATAACCTAATTCATATAGATTCATAACCTGTATACTGTATATGTGCCTGGTAAGGGTTTTTCCTTTTAATAACTTACTTGTCTAAGCAAGCTCACAGTTGCAGCTTCCATTACTGATAAAATGTTTAGATGTATATACTACAAGCAAATGTTTTTTAAGTATAGAGCAGTATAACTGTGAACAAGATGCAAGGCTTACAGCACAAGGACCTAGGAAAAGACAAAGTAGTTAAACTGTGACTAATAAGCTACATTCCAGTTCACCCACTGGAGACTGCTAATATTTCTGTGTAAGGTGGTAGCAAATGTAAAAAAATCCCAGTTGTCTTCAGTTGCTGTAAAAGCCAGTAGAAAAAATAATACTCATCTATCCAAAGCTAATTGAACGTTCAGATTTTTAAGAAGGATTGAAATGCGACTGTTTTCCTTTTGTTTTTTTTCCCCTGCAGAGACACAGTGCTCTGTGCCTATACAGTGTACGGATAAAACAGATAAACAAGAAGTGCTATTTAAGCCTCAGGCAAAAGATGATATAAATAGAGGTGCACCATGCATCACATCTGTCGCACCAAGAGGATTGGGCCAAGATGAGGAAGACACCTCTTTTGAATCACTTTCTAAATTCAATGTCAAGTTTCCACCTACGGACAGTGACTCTACTTTCTTACATAGCAGTCCAGAAAGACCCAGTGTCCTTGGTCCTGCCTCATGTGAGGCTATGTGCCAGGATAAATTTAATATGGAGCCCAGAGACAACCCGGGAAACTTTGTCAAAACAGAAGAAACTTTATTTGAAATTCAGGGAATTGACCCCATAGCTTCAGCTATACAAAACCTTAAAACAACTGACAAAACAAAACCCTCAAATCTTGTAAATACTTGTATCAGGACAACTCTGGATAGAGCTCCGTGTTTGCCACCTGGAGACCATAATGCATTATATGTAAATACATTCCCACTTCAGGACCCATCTGATGCACCTTTTCCTTCACTCGATTACCCAGGAAAAGCTATCCGAGGACCACAGCAGGTAACTGTTTTGCATTAACAAATATATTAAGTGTGAACACACATTTTGCCATGCATGCACAGATATGCAGCTTTCAGATTATCAGACACCTTTTTTAAACTAATGACTAGCCGAAGTTAAGCTTTCAATAAAAATATCCAAGTCCTGTAATAAAGGACATGAAATTTAAAAGATGAATATGGTGAAGCTCTATTATAAAGTACCTTAAAATTTACGGCACATTTTAAAATACATGTAAACCTTATCCATATCTAGTGTGTGTCATTTTCTTACTTAGTCCCTTATTCAAAGCTTTTAACGCAGTATCATTGTTAGAATAGGATTCTTTATTAAATTTCATTCTGTGAAGCAGGTGGCATTTTTTTATCAAAAAGTTTGTGTGTATCATACTTATCTTTACAAGAATGCATGATTTTTTTATAAGTAAATAATCACATTGTATGTTTCTATTTCTGAAAATAAGCGAACTGTCTTTCAAATATTACTTCTATTACATTCTCAGTTATACAGTACGTAGATCTGTAGGGTTTGGTTTTGGTTTTGGTTTCTAATCTGCAGCCTAATACATTTTTTAAACGGTCTCTACATATGTATGATTCTAATCAAATACTTTCATGTTTCTAAAGCTTGCAGACTACTTACAGCCCCCCACCCCAATCCACTCCTACCCTCCCTTTTATTCAGGTTCTATTACAAAATGATTCTTTAAGTTTAAAAAAAAAAAAGGTGTTTAATGCCTAAAGGCAAATGAAAATATGTAATTGTTACAATAAACAGAAGCTCATAAAAAATGCAGATTGGTAAAAGTGTCTAATATAACTTGCAGACATTTGTTTGATTTCTCTTTGCCTTGAGATACTTAATTTACCAAAAACCAAAAAACACCAACAACTTGATTAATACCCTTTGGCTTTATAAGTACTTTTATAGGTTATAGACTTTTAAATCAGCATACAAAGAAGGCAGTAGTCAAGCTGTGGTATATTTTAGTAGTGGAGAAAACTAGGCATCTCTGACAATAAGCTTTAATTGTAAACTCACTTATGTTCTACATTGTACCTTATTTCACATCATAGTCACAGTTATAGTTACTACATAATGAAACAGATTAAACAATTTTATTTATTTCAAGTAGAATTCCTGTGGAGCTGTGAAGTGCATCAGTTCTAATGCTTGTTATTTTTTTCTCCATTACATCTCTTGCTTGTTCTTTTACTAGTCTGTGCATTCATGTTTCAGTAGATGGCACCCTGCATTGTGCATTTGCTTTCTAGGCTACAGCAAGGGAAACAGCTGGTATGTGATTACAACTTGATGGAAAAGTATTCAGCTTAAAAAATGCAGGAGAATTGGTGTTGAGCTGTCACAAGACGTGGGGCATAAGGTTAGATAATTGATATTTTGGCAGAAAGGCAAAGAAATTTGTTTGTTTTGAAGGCCATGTTACAGTTTAGGATTCAAAGGATATTTCTTAAAATGGGTTTTTTAAAACATTTTGTTGTTTTATTTTAATAAAGCTATGAGAAATACAAAATTCTTGAGTTGTCAATAATAACAAAGGGAAGTGAAATTTTGGTTTCATATTTCAAATTTTTACTTTTATCTCAATCATTACTACTTAACACCTTTTTTTATACATTCAGCTATCATAATAAAGTCTAAAATATACCTGCTTATTTTTGCTCTATGTGATTTTCTTTTCTTCCTACTTTTGCTGAGTCAGTGATTGGGGTCCCAACTGAATTCTATGAAAAGCTCAAATCCGAACTAATAGCTCCTAATAGAGAAGGATAAGTATGGACTTTGAAAATAAATTGGCAGTAGAAGATTGGCTCATCCAATTTAGAAGCTAAATTGCTTCTGAGTCTATTACTATTTTATAGATCTTAATTTAAAGTATCTTTAACATAACAATCTTTTATTTATATCCATATCAATTTCCCATTAGAGTGGTGCATATTAATCAATTGTACTTTTTGTTTAAACTGCCAACACTAAAATTTAAATCTAGTTAACTCTGTTATATACTCACAATTATTACTTCTTTTCTTTTATCATGGAAGAGAGGAAATTATTTTACTCCAGATTTCAAATATGTATTTTAATATTACTGTTTTTTGTAATAAAATTGCCACTTCTCACAAAAGTATTTGAGTCAGTGTTATTATACACCCTCTGTACTGATATTTGAATGTTATCTTGGTGCTTAGACAGACTTTGTATATTTACATCAACCGTACACAGCTGTCCACTAAAATGTTTATAAGAAGACAGTGATGTAGTGAAACCCAAATGCTTCAATTAGTAATATACTGTTTATGTAATGATTGGTTAACTAGGATGAAAGAGATTGGTTAAGGGAATGTAAACTAACACTATGTCAGGAGTTGAACTAGGTTGTTATTTTAAAAGCATATTAGTAACAGGAATACAAAGGGGTCTCTTTAAGTTGGCATTTCGAGGTGATTTTTCCTCAAAGTGCCAGAATTTAGATATGTCAAGATAAGAAAGCAAATTTTAGAAATAATTTGGTTTACAACATTTCAGGAAAATAAGATATTCCAGTCAACAAACATATATTGAGCACCTACTCTTGAACTAAATGCTTTTTCTGGCCCTTCTAGATATTTTTTAATAAGTACAGTTAAGAGTATGTAGGTGTTGCTTATAGTAATGGAGGTAGCTCTGTAGAATTATGCTTCCCATAATCCTTTAACTGGCAACTGTTGACAGGCTTCACTTTAGTTAGCCACAAGAAAGGGTAAGAAGGCCAAAGTATGTGCTTGTAACAGGAGCAAAATAAGAAGTCAAAAGAATGCATCCAATGTTGGACTTTGTTGAACGATTAAATATTTGAGGTTTCAAAAAACAACTGATCAATAGAATTTGTTTCATACTTTAAAAAAATTATTTTCAAAAATTAGAACACTTATTTCTATATGATTTATTCATTGTGTATTTGCTTATAAATAGTAGCGAAATTACATTGCTCTTGATCAAAATGCACGTACACACACATCATTTCTAGTATGCTGTGTATTAATAAAGGTCCTATAACTTAAAGTTCCAATATAAAATAGAAGAGATAGAATTTAATTTTTTTAAAGTCTCAGTTATTGACTATTGTTCCAAAACTCCAAAACCCGTTGGGATAACGGGTATTAAAACATGCTGGTGTTAAAGCTGAAAAATGTTTTAATGTGTGAAGATAAAGTGCATGAATGTGTATTTTAAGTGATTCCTAAAGTTAAATTATGCCCTTTATGAAAAAGAGAATTGAGTCATGTCCTCATGCCAATTCTAAAGGAAAGGTAATTCGCTTTCATATTAGGGAATTTCATATATACGCACATAACCCGTTCAAAAAATTTGAATTTGAAATTCAGTGCAAGTTGATTTTAAATACAAATAACAGAAGATGTTTTTATTTGTTTCCTGCAGCCCGTTTGGAAGCCCTTTCCTAATCAAGACAGTGACTTATCGGTACTAAGTGGCACAGGCTCAGAACTGCATATACCTCGAGTATGTGAATTCTGTCAAGCAGTTTTCCCACCATCCATTACATCCAGGGGGGATTTCCTCCGGCATCTTAATTCACACTTTAATGGGGAGACTTAAGACGCATTTGAAAACAGACATATCAAGTTCTATGTGATGATTCTGGGTTTGTAATATTATGTACTTGATTGCAAACTTAGCTCAAAATCATTTATTGAAAAATCCAGTGTCACAGCTATTTGAATTTTTTTCTAAACTTATATTGTAACTTTCTTTTATTACCTTTTAAAAGATCATTCTGTACAAAACTGTAATTCATTGTATTCATGTTTACAGTGTTTATTGCCATAATTCAAAATTATGTATGTGACTTATGGAATTGTATAACAATAATTTATGTTTTTTTCAAATGTCTAAGCTTATTGCTTGGATTTCTAGTTAGATCTATTGAATTTGGTGATGTCAAATGTTTATAGGGTTTTTTTCACTTGTTTTCATTTAAAAGTTTAGATTATTTATGCTGTGGGTGTTCTTTTTGAATAAACCAATAATAGAGAATAGCAGACAAGATAAACATCTGAGTAAATACCAAACCTAAGACATTTGTTGCTCAGTGATAAGATCACTGGTAGGATTATTTAAACACTTTATTATTTTTTTTTAATAATAGACATGGTTTTAATTTTTACTATACGTATAGCAACATGATGAAATTAAATATTAAAAGAGTTACTTATATTGTGGTAATTAATGTGTTCTTTCTTCTTAAATAAATAAATAAATCACATTTGGGGGAAATTCATAAAATTCATGTTTCTTTCCAGTAATCTGATAGAAGGGTGATACCAGATCTGGTGACATTTTATTATAACTAGTAGATCACTTTGAATTTTAAAATTATTTTTCAAACTAAACTTACTAAAGAAACACATTTGTCTTTAATTGGAGCAAATCTAAAACCCTGTAAGGATTATCCATATTAATTAATTTATATTAGAAATGTTCACATTCTTGAGAAATTTGTTAATTCATTGGTAGCATCCTGCCTGATGACGAGAGGAAGATATTTAAGAAAGAGGATACCAAATTCAGAGGGTTGCAGAATTTTAAAATGAGACTTCCCTTTCATTTTTCTTCCCTATGATTCTTGTCTTTTAGGTTTCTCTTCCCTCCCCCACCCCACACTTAATTTTTAAAAATGGTCGAGGCATGGCTTCCATTTTATGAAGTAAACACTGATTTGCAACTCTCAAAACAGAAATTTAAGCCTTCTTGGGAACGAGTGTTGTAGAAAGCTGGAGGGTTTCAGGTAAGGGATTGGAACAATTTGTTCAGGTATCACCTGTGCCACAGTGAAGAGCCTTAACTTGTGGAAGAATGAGAGTGGTGCTTCGACTTCTCAGGGTGCCAAGCACATCACACTGACATCTTCCTCACCAAGGTGACATAGCCATTATTAGGCATTCACTGTGAAGGGTTCTGAGGCATGTACATCTTTCTTTCATTGCCGCTGGGGCTGAATGGAAATGCCTAGACAATTATCCAAGTCTCTTCCCTTCCCCCCTACCTCCCGCCCAGCCAGCCTCCCCTCTCGCTCACTCCTCCCACACACACGCAAAATTAAACATAAAAACTTCCCAGCGTGTTCCAGCCAGAATATACCACTGTACCTATCTCATGAAAGGGGATTCTTTTTCCTTCTCTTTTCTAGGTGAGGAAGAGTTCCTCTCACACAGTTGACATCTACTAGCCTGCTGACAACCAAAGGAAATTGTGGCCCAGAAAGTGACTCGAAGTGGATCACTGACTCCTCTTCTCCAGTCCACCCTTTTGACACCTCCACCACTTTTAGTAAGCGGGGAACTCTTGTTTTCTATTGGGTTCCAGTGCTACCCCAAGCTCCGGCTTCCGAGGGACAGAGGCCCTCTCGGGCCAAGGGACAGGCAGCCTGGAGAACAGGCTCCGGGCCCGCACTGCAGAGGTGGTGCTGGCTGCAGCTTGAAAAGTGGAGTTGGGCACCCGCTGGGTCTCCCCTCTGGCTCTTAGTTCCGAGTCGTGTAGGGGCTGCATCTTGGCATCTGCTACGCGTGGCCGGGTAAGAACAGTTCCCAGGTAAAAAAGCTTCACACGCGAAACGCTGAGTCTGAAAAAACCACCCCCGCCGAGGCGAGGCAGTTGTGAGCGGGATGCCTGAGAAGTGGGAGGTGAATGTCCTCAGGAGGGCCCCCCCGGTGCAGCTTTCCCCGGAGGCTGAGGCTGCTGCCAGCGGGGACATCTGCTTTCTTACTCTCCAGCCTGGCTCACCCCGCCCCCTCAGCCCCGGGTTGCGTGGTTATTTTACCAACACGGGGGGAGGGAGAGCTCGAGGAGGTAGAGAAGGGGTGGATGGAAGCTCGGGAGATGTTCTTCCCACTCCCCCACGTCCCCTCCTTTTTTCTTCACATCTTTTAACCTTCAAAGTAAAGACTATAAATATGAAACGATAAGCGTGTCCGCTGGCTCCCAGGCCCGCCTACTGCTCGCGGGGCTCTCGGGTGCGGGGCCTTGCCCTCCTCTCCAGCCTCCCCGGAGGCGGCCCGGGTTTCGGTGGTTTCGCCGGGCGCAGGGGCAGGCCGGGTGCGCTCAGCCGGTGGCGCCTTCTCTCCCGGGCTGCTGCCTCGACAGCTGCTTGTAGCTACAGTAATTAGACTGTCAGTGCTTGTTAGAGGAGAGAGGGGGAAACACGCTTATGACAGCAGATTCCGAGACTCCCCAGTTTGTTAATTTCTAAGAGATCTTTAAAGCATTAATTGAGGTCTCCCTAACTCTCCCCCCCCGTCCCTCTCCTCTCCCCAACTCCTCCCTTCCCAAAAATATCTGTAGGGGAAGAGAATTCTCTCCGCGTGGAAGCAGTGTTTCCCGCAAAACTGCAAGCCCGCCCCCGACTCACGCACACGCACACTATTTTATATATACATCTATATGCACACATGAATACGCAGAAGGTTAACTCGGCAGAGGCCTCGTCCAAATAGGAACCAGGATTGCATTTAAAATAATAATAAATAAATAAATAAACTAGGACGGAAAGGGGGGGAGGGAAGCAGAAGTCGGGAAGAAAAGAGAAAAGCAGCAGGCTGATTACGAGGTGTCAAAACTGCCAGGAGCAAGAAGGTGATAGCAATCAGGGGTGAGAAGAGTGCGGCATTCGTGCGGGGCAACTAATTATCCGTCTCATTTGAGAAGAGCAGCATTTGAGGCAGCAGCGTTCGCCTGCTGAACGGTGACAGATTGGCGCGGAGGAGAGGGGAGGTGTTAAAACAATGGAGCCGGGCGCGCGAGCGCTGCTGCATGCTAATCAGCCCTCCCTCCGCCTGCCTGCCGCGCTCCCTCCTTTCTCCCGGCCTCCCTCCTCCGCGCTCCCCCTCCCGCCTGCGGCGCTCCCTCCTTTCCAGCGGGCCCGCCGCCGCCGCCGCCACCCGCTTCCTGCTCCCTCTCTTTCCCGCGCGTCCTTCCCGCCGCTGGCAAGTGGAACCTGGGCCGGGCCACCGCGTCCACCACGGCCCGGGAGCCCCTGCGCTGCCCCCCGCGGGCGCCCTCCGGGGTTCAGGCCGCTCGCGAGCCGCTGGCGAGCGCTGCCCCGCGCGGTGCTCCGAGGGCCGGCCCGCTCCCCGCGCGCCTCTTGAGAGTGGGTCTTGGAGGAGAGGCCGGGGAGCCTGCATTCTCGCGCCCACCGCTTTCTGCTGGTGAATTGAACGCGGTGGGCAGCGAGTGGGAAGCCAGGCGAAGTCAGGAAGGGCGAGGGGTGGGAAGAGAGTCGGAGCCAGGAAGGCGGAAAAGGTCCCCCGGACCGACGGCAGGCCCCCCGACTCAGCCCCAGCGCCGCCGCCGCCCCGAGCAGCGTCGCCGGCCGCGGGCGAGGTCACCGCCGGCAGAGTCTCCCGGGTCGAGCCCCGCAGACCCCAGCAACCTCCCCTCGCCAGCCAGGCCCCAACTGGACTTAAACGGTTTAGTAAGCACCGAGAGGAAGACAAATACAGGGCCTGAGCGTTCGTTGTGCTTCCAAGGCTTGACCTCCTGACCCTAAGACTAGACTAAGGGGCTTCCGGACCCCCGGAGATCATACCATTCAGTCGTTGCGGGGGAAAGAAAGCCTTTAAGAAACCGGCCACCCGCGCCCTCCACCGCGGTGACCAGAGGCAGGACCGGGCCGGGGCATCTCTGGCAGCCCAGCTCCCCGCCTGAATGTTCCACTCCGCGTTCTTGCCTTGGGAAAGCTGGTCAAAACCGCAGGGCCGTGGCTGCCCCTGTACAGATAATCCACCAGAACCTGAGTCTCTGCTGGAAAAGGTCTCTTTATACCTGTTGAGGCAGGCCCAGGACCTGAGGTTCTGTCTACTTTTTGAATTTAAAAGCTGATTGTTGAGCTTTTGCTTAAAATACACTTTTGTTCGTACGTTTTTACTACTACAGATTTACATAAACTACCCTTAGAGAATAAAAATCATTGAAACATTGACGTTCTTATGGCTTACGTAGGTTAAGTGAAACACAGCTACAGAGAACTGGTAGGAATTTGGACTGAAGGAGAATGTAATTTCTTCTAACTTGTTCCGTACTATTTAGTTAACCAGGTGCCTAAATTAACATAATAAAACCTCCTTCCCTCAAGCCAGACATGGAAAAGGAAAGCAGTTGAAAGGTA